CGGGGGAGCTGAGTCTTTTTTTGCACCCAACCCGGAGCTAAAAACTACCGAGGGGGGTGCCCTCACAAGAAAAGAAATGTCTTTGCATGTAAGTGACCAGGAGGAAGAGGAGGGGGCAATGGCGGGACCATCTTTAACTGAAAGTCTGGCTGAACTAACAGTGGAAGAACCTGCCGTTCGTCCCAGATGGACTTGGGGTATGGGACACAAAGAGGAGCCTGAGGAATTGGGTTAGGGTCCAGTGGTTTCCTTTCCTGATTACTAAATGAAGTCAATGCTGACAGTGTGTCTTTTATTAGCAATTTGGCTTAATTATGTATATGAATTTTATAAAATAATTACCATTTTACTGCCCACTGATATAAATTAATTTAATATGTGCAAGGAAAAGACAATTGAAATTAATGTATAATGGAACTTACGACAATTAAGTCCAAAACTTCTGTTGTTAAGTGAGACATTTAAGTGAGTTTTATTCCATTTTACAATCTTTCTTGCCACATTGTTAAGTGAATCACTGCAGTTGATAAAAGTTAGTAACCCAGTTGTTAAATGAATTTGGTTTCCCCATTGACTTTGCTTGTAAGAAGGCTGCAAAAGGTGATCACATGACCCTGGGATAAAGCAATGGTTCTAAGTATGAGTCAATTGCCAAGCATCTGAATTTTGATTACATAATCATAGGGTGCTACAAAAGTTGTTAAGTGTGAAAAACGGTGATAAGTCACTTTTTTCAGTGCTGTTGTAACTTTGAACGGTTACTAAATAAACTGTTGTAAGCTGAGTATTACATTGACTTATAACTAGTTGCTTAGCAACTGCTGGAAATCACAACAGCCCCTCCCCCAAAGGTACTTATGATCCCATTCCAAATTTCTGTCAGCTGGTGACATGATAATATTTTGGGCAACTATTAACTGAACAATTTATTTATAGCAATTTCAAGCACCCTGTGGTCACATGATTATCATTTGCAATAGTTTTGCTGAAAATCATCATTTGCTTCCAGTTTTCAGCAAAAATGCCTCATAACAAACAATAGGCTTGCGCAATGATTGTGGTGTTTGTTTAACGTCCGCTGCAAAAAAGGTCATAAAATTGGGTTGGTCATATGATGACTCACACTATAACCTTTATGGCTTATAGCTCTTAATTGGTAGGCTTCATTATAGTCGTAAGTCAAGGACTACGTGTAAAAAGACTCTTGCCTTTGGCCTAAAGAGCAAATTGTATTTTCATATGGAGGGAATGTTTTGATGCAAAGGAAGAGGTTCTCCTTCACCGCAGAATTTCCAGCTCCTCTCCTGTTCTAGGGACTGATTAAATAAAAATTAATATGCTCTCTTCTCCTGCTTTACAACATCAGGAAACTCCCTTGTGGCTCACAGCTAAGCAGTCTCAATACCAGATTTTGACAAATGCCTAAATCTATGAGTCTAGCCATCAATCAAAACTTCCCTAGCCCACATTTGGGAGCAGAACTGGTGAATTTTTTTTCTTGCTAGATAGTGAAGTTTTCAGGTGATGTGGGAAATAAAATAAAGCAAATCTATCAGTCACTTTTCCTAACTTGTCCTACAGTAAATCCCCATTAATTTGAAATAGGCAGCTATATACATTTGATTAATTTATTAATAAATAACTATAACAGTACTCATGAGGGCTACATAACATATATAGGCCCCTAGGAAAATGATTGTTACAAACTAATGAGAAAGAACCTACGGTAATAAGTCACAAGTGAGGAATTGGGATTAGACCTAGCACCTCTGCACATTATTAGATATTAGTCATTATTAGTCTGTTCTTACAGCACTACAGCATTGTTCTTGTGTTTTTATTTTTGTATGGAATTTATTTTATAATATATTTTTCATGTGAGTCACCGATACATTTTTAAAATTCCCAGAATGGAAAGTATATTTAATAAATATCTACTTATTTTGTACTTTAAATTCAACATATTTGGTGCCATTTTGGTAAATATTTTTTTCACTGCAATTAGTACAGGCAGTGTGATTTTAAAGAACAAATGATAAAAATTCTATTTCTGATAGATTTTGGATGCAAAATGCATTTTTAAAAAAATCAATGAAAAAACAGACCACCAATGTTGCTTTGACTGTGGTTCAGGGAACATTAGCCTTTGGAACGTGCATTGTCTATCAAAAAAGTTTTTCAAGTTTTTTTTTTTTATTAATCAATTTTTGGACAAAACTACCAAAACTTCCATTTATTTCATGCTAGTATTTTGGGTCAAACTTTCAGACATTTGATAATTTGGACTGTTCTCTTAGACAATGACATTTCTTAGTATAAAGGATTGTACAAAATGTTTACAGTTTCTCATTATCTAGTGGAAAGAAAATTCCACAGAAAAATGAGAAATATATGCCAATAAATATGCTGTCAACTGCCTAGTTTTATCATTGGAAAGAACTTATTAACAGAACTTAATGATCTAGCAGAGTATAAACTCCCTAATATAATAGATAAAAAATAACTAGAAATATTCCTATGAAACTAGAGTTGCAAGTAAAACTTTTACAGAATCCCAATTTCTTGACCAAAAGGCAAGATTCCTAAAAAACAGTAGTGATGTGTATCATCCAACATTGGGGTGGGGATATAGTATTCCAGAGAAAAGAGCAGTGTCTGCAAAGAAACATTTCTGTGGTTCCTGATGGTGATAATCTTTAATCATGGGGACGTGTAACTAGTTTCTACTGAATCTTATGGGGTGGACAGATTTTATAGAGAGAAAGCAGCTTAAATCAGGAATGGCTTTAAATTTCACAATAAGCACTCTGGATTTTACTCAGCAGCTCACTGTTAATTTCTGCATTCCTCAGAATTGTTATGTGATTGGCTTAAGGTATACCATCAACATCTGAGCTGCTGCAATCTGGACCAGCTGGAGCTTTTAACGTTCCTCAAGGCAGATTCATGTACTGTGCATTGAACCAATCCAATTGAGAGATGACTAAGGCACAAGTGACACAGAGTTAATGCCTGCTTTCTCAGACTATTGCTGCTTAAGATGGAGTTACTATATGTAAAGGCCCTCTTTCCCACAGATGCCACCTGCTCTTTGAGATCTTCAAATTGTGAACATCTGGGAAGCACAATCCTGTTCAGACTAATTTCATGTTGAATAGGACCACATCAACCTCTGCAGTAATCATCAATGAAAAGGTCTACTGCTCAACTTTGCCCTCACAACTGCCTCTATCCCTTCAGGAATGAGAACTATATAATACAGCGCTCCCCATTCCTGATGCTTGAAGAACAAAAGAATGATAACAAGAAGGTTCTGAAAGCTGCTGAAACCAAGTCCGATCAGAATGATCACTTTCCTGTCCCACCAGAAATCACTGACAGGGGGAACAATGCCTTTTCTATACTGAGCCAAAAGTGAAATGGGTCTAGATAATCTGCTTCTCCAGGGATCTCAAGTTCAAGGCAAAAACCTGCTGTATACTTGCCCCCAAAAAGCTGGAGATTAGATAATATTTATATAGTATATTGGAGTTGAGTGATGGCTTCCGGAGGAGGTATACCACCCTTTTTTCAAAGAAAATGTATAACTCCTTTCTGAAGGATAGATTTTCTACCATTCTGATTCAGCTTTCAGTCATCTATCTGGAGGCTTTTATTATCTAGGAGTGTTGTAGACTGTGGGGAGCTGAGCTGATACAGGTAAACAGGCAGTCCTTGCTTACTGATTGCCTCATTTAGAGACCAATCAAAATTACAATGGTGTTAAAAAAAACCTGCAGCTTTGTGACCAATTCTCACATTTATAATTGTCACTGTGTCCCACAGTCACATGATTATTATTTGTGTGCTTCCCTAGTGGCTTGCGACTAGCAAAATTAATGGAGAAAAATTACAAGTTGGGGTTGCAATTGTGTGTCTAAGCAAGAGTGACTTGTACTACAGAGGTAAGATTCACAGTATCAAACTCATCTCAAGATAACTTTGCAAGATGAGACTTCACCTTCTCTGGGCCCACCTAGCTAGCATCAAGGTGACCAACTTGAACACTTTACAGCAACTGTATTTAATTAATAAATTGTTTAATCTGTAATTTCCCAATATTGAATATGCTCTTTTTCACAATTATAGAACACTGAGTGTGGGAAACTGAAAATTCCTTTCCTGAGCAATTCAACCAGTTTTGGACTTCAGGACATATGTAAAGCATTTGTAGAAAAGGACAAATCTGATTGTGAACTATAAGTCCTTACCTATTTGGTTAGTTTATGGTTCAATGTAATGTGCAAATCCAGAAAATGGGTCAATTCAATGAGGTAAAAACATGGTCTGTCAATAGTCAATTGTTCCAAAATAATAAATCAGTTTTCGTTTGGACTGCATATTTAGGCTATGACATTTATGTAAGAAATGACATAGTTTCTTTAACGCTTTAAATTCAAGAATCAGTTGCGTTCTCTATGAACCACAAAGGTTTTCATCTTGCTTAAACCCAGACCATTGGTGGTTCACTGTATAACGGGAACTCGGAAAACTAGGTTGAGAAAGCAATGATTGAGTCACACAGTAGGTAAGCGTGTGACGCAAAGACACCGTTGCTGGTGTTAACTGCCCGCTCCCAGGCGTCTTAACAACCTCTCATTATGCCCGCCACAGGCTCCCCCCGCTGCATACGGAGAAGTCAATACTTACTCCCGAGGAGGATGTGTCAAACGAGCCAATCCCTTTGGGGTCCAAGAGGAACCATTTATTTGCCCACGGCCGAAGGCCAGCGCTTCTGGAGAGAGAGGCCTTCGTGCAACGCGCCTCCCTTGGGTTACATCGCAGCTGGGGTCCTGTCGCCGCCGGGGATCGCGCTGAAAAAGCCTCTTCCCCGGGCCGTAGTTGCTCAGCAACGCAGCGCCGCGTTCGCCTCGCGCATGGTGCGTGCCATCTTTTTCCAGGGCCGCCCGTCGTGATAGCGTTACCGGCCGGGCCACCGAAAAAGCTTCACTTCAGCCGACCACAGGGACAGCCAAGCTCGGCTGCAGCTGCAATTGCAGCTGCATCGCCCTTGGCTCGGCTCGGCTCGCCTCCGCGGCTTCCAGCAGCAACAGGGCCACCCGCCTTTAGCGCCGGTTGCCTGGCTGCGCTGAATCGCCACCAACCACTGCCTCCATTTCCTTGCTTGCCTCCAAACTAGCCCCGCGGCGTCCTTCTCTGCGCTGCCTCCCGGGGCAGGCGGGCAGGCCTCTGAGGAGGCGGGGAAGGAAGAGAAAGGCGGGAGTGGGGAGAGGGAGAAGGCGGCCGCCAACCAGACGGGGCTCCCAGCGGGAGGAGGGAAACGTCTTGGGGAGGGGGGGCTGGGCTGACTCAGCCTCGAAAGGGCGGGCGAAGCAAGGAGGAAAAGCTGGCACCTTGTTCAGTGGAAGTTCAGAAGAAGAGGAGCTTCTTCAAATGCTGCTCCGCCTTGTGGACGGAGGTAGGCGGGAGACAAATCTCGCTTAAACCGCAGTTCCGTTTGTTAGTGAAGCAAAGGCTGACCAGTAATAGCTTATATGCGCCTCAAGAATGATTGATTGATTGATTGAAAATAGATTGACCCCTCCTCTCTATGGCAGTCCCTCAAATACTGGAACACTGTTATCATGTCATCCCTGATCCTTCTCTTCACTAGACTAGCCATGCCCAGTTCCTGCAACCGTTCTTCATATGTTTTAGCCTCCAATCCCCTAATCATCTTTGTTGCTCTTCTCTGCACTCTTTCTATGTCTCAACATCTTTTTTATAGTGTGACCAAATCTGGATGCAGTATTCTATGTGTGATCTTACTAAGGCTTTATAGAGTGGCATTGATACCTCATGTGATCTTGATTGAATTCCTCTGTTAATGCAACTTAGTATTAGATTGGCTTTTTTCACTGCCATTGCACACTGCCAGCTCATATTTAATTGATTACCCACTATAAAAAAGATGTTGAGACTCTAGAAAAAATGCAGAGAAGAGCAACCAGGATGATTAGGGAACTGGAGACTAAAACATGAAGAACGGTTGCAGGAACTGGGCATGGCTAGTCTAGTGAAGAAAAGGACCAGGGAAGACATGATAACAGTGTTCCAATATTTGAGGGACTGCCATAGAGAGGAGGGGGTCAACCTATTTTCAAAAGCACCCAAAGGCCAGACAAGGAAT